CAATTCCTTAAAATAACTAAATCAATTTCCCTCTCCCTACACACACACACACACACACACACACACACAACCAATTCCTTAAAATAACTAAATCAATTTCCCTCTCCCTCCACACACACACACACACACACAACCAATTCCTTAAAATAACTAAATCAATTTCCCTCTCCCTCCACACACACACACACACACACACACACACACAATTCCTTAAAATAACTAAATCAATTTCCCTCTCCCTACACACACACACACACACACACACACACCCCAATTCCTTAAAATAACTAAATCAATTTCCCTCTCCCTCCACACACACACACACACACACACACACACACACACACACCCACCAATTCCTTAAAATAACTAAATCAATTTCCCTCTCCCTACACACACACACACACACACACACACACCCCAATTCCTTAAAATAACTAAATCAATTTCCCTCTCCCTCCACACACACACACACACACACACACACACCAATTCCTTAAAATAACTAAATCAATTTCCCTCTCCCTCCACACACACACACACACACACACACACACACACACACACACCAATTCCTTAAAATAACTAAATCAATTTCCCTCTCCCTCCACACACATACACACACACACACACACACACACACACACCAATTCCTTAAAATAACTAAATCAATTTCCCTCTCCCTACACACACACACACACACACACACACACACACACACACACGCACCCTCTCTCTATATTGGTTCTGTTTCTCTAGAGAATCCAGACTCATACAGGCCCAGAGCGGGGACGATGGCTTGCCCAAGATCCCAAAGCTGGTGACCGGCAAGAACGTCTAGAGTGCCAGCTAGAGAGGAAATGGACGAATTCCCCCCACCTCTGATACCATCCTAATCCCAGCTGCCCTCATTTCTCACCAAGGTTATCACAATAGTTTCCTTACTGGTCTCTCTGCCTCCACTCTTGAGCCCTGAGGGAAGCCAGTGGGATCCTTTTCAAAACACGAGTCAGACCTCCGTGTCCTCTGCTCAGAACCCTCCAGTGGCTCCCATCTCACACAGAGTAAAAGCCAGGCTTTACATAGGTACCCCCACCCCTCTGACTTTGCCTCCTGTCGCCTCCCACCATCACCACCACTCTCTCTGGCACAGGGGCCTCCTTGTTTCACAAGCAAGGTGTCCAGGCCTTTGCAGCTGCTCTTCCCTGTGCTGGGAATGTCCCCCCGAAACCCCCCACAGCTGCACGGCTCCCTCCCTCAGGTCCTTCAGATCTGGGCTCAGATGTCTTCTTCTTAGATGACATCTTTCTGCCACACTGTCTGAAGCAGCCCCGCTTTGTGACCGCCCCCCATGCTGTTTCCCTCCCTGCTTCCTGGCCCCTCACTAGAAGGTCGGTTCTTCCTGAGGGCAGGGACTTGTCCCTTTTGTTCAATGCAGTGTCTGAAACAGTGTGGGGCACTGAGCAGGCGCTCAAGAAATACGTGTTGCATTAATACACAAATGAATGAACAAATGAATGAATGATCAAGCTAAGGATGGCACACAAATGCAATCCCACGTGGTAAGTGCCATGACAGGGGTAAGGACGGGGAGCCCAGAAGAGACAGCATACAGCCTCCGTGGGGAAGGCCTGAATAATGAAGACACACAGAAGTTGGCCAAGCAAAGGCTGGTGGGTAGAGAATTCCTGGCAAGGGGAACAGGCTGGGCAAAAGCCCAGCAGAGAACGAGGGAAGCGCAGATGGTATGGAGATCTATTTGGGTACCGAAATCTGTTCAGAGCACAAGTCGGGGATGAGACTCACAGGAGATAAGGCAAGAACAGTAGTTCTCAAAGTGTGGTCCATGAACCCCTAGGGGGCCCAGAACACTTTCTGGGGGTGGGGAAGGGGCAGCAAGCTCTAGTTTCCTACTGAGACACAGTTTGCTTTTTCAGTGTTTTGATATTTGTGCTAATGGTACAAAAGCAATGATGGGTAAAACTTCTGGAGCTTCTGGAGGATTCAGACAATGGCCCCTCCAAACTGAATGAGTATTCTTCACCACCGTGCACTCACAGTGTTTCTTTTTATTTTTATTTTTTTGAGATGGAGTTTCACTCTTTCGCCCAGGCTGGAGTGAAGTGGTGGTGAGATCTTGGCTCGCTGCAACTTCTGCCTGCCAGGTTCAAGTGACTCTCCTGCCTCAGCCTCCAGAGCAGCTGGGATTACAGGTATGCACCACCACACCTGGCTAATTTTTCTATTTTTAGTAGAGACGGGGTTTTGCCATGTTGGCCAGGCTGGTCTCAAACTCCTGACCTCAGGTGATCCACCCGCCTTGGCCTCCCAAAGTGCTGGGATTACAGGTGTGAGCCACCATGCCAGGCCCACTCACAGTATTTTAGAAAGTTTTTCAATTAAAACAATAAAGCCAACTGCACTTAAGATCACCTTGAACACAAATGGTTCACTTTATTAAATCCTGACCTTCAAGGTCACTGCCCTTTAACGTCCTGTGTGAGGAAATGAGAACTATGCATAAGGCATGCCTGCTGCCCATGAAAGCATGATGGCTGCCTAGAGATCTTGTTCTTGTGCCCGATCTTGTTCTTGTGCAATTGTCTTGAGTTGTGGGCTGAACTAGCCACTTTATTTTGCAGAATATCATTTTTACTAAAAAACAACTGACAACTGGGCATGGTGGCATGCGTCTATAGTTCCAGCTACTTGGGAGGCTGGGACAGGAGAACTGCTTGAGCCCAGGGAGTCGAAACCAGCCTGGACAACATAGCAAGACCCATACTCTCTTAAAAATGAACAAACTGAGCTGATCACTTCAAAGGAAACAAACTAAAGATATTTATTGCCAATGACAAAATTTGAGCATTCAAGAAAAAATCAAAAATACGGAAAACATGAGTCAACCAACCAGAACATGAAAGCTTCTCAATTTCTTTTTTTTTTTTTTTTTTTCTTTTTGACAGGATCTCAATCTGTCACCCAAACCGGAGTGCAGTGGTGCAATCATGGTTCACTGCAGCCTTGACTTCCTGGCCTCAAGTGATCCTCCCATCTCAGGTTCCAGAGTATCTGGGACTACAGGCATGTGCCACTGTGCCCAGCTAATTTTTGTATTTTTTGTAGAGATGAGGTTTCACCATGTTGCCCAGGCTGGTCTCAAACTCCTGGGCTCACACCTGTAATCCCAGCACTTTAGGAGTGGTGGTGGGCGCCTGTAATCCCAGCCACTCAGGAAGGCTGAGGCAGGAGAATCGCTTGAACCTAGGAGGTGGAGGTTGCAGTGAGCCGAGACAGCGCCACTCTGTCTCAAAAAAAAAAAAAAATCCACTGCTGTATCTTGCACTTGGATGTAACTTTGCCCCACCCATGATCCTGTAACATCATGCACTGGTCACTTAGAAAATATTGGTTTACTGTGTTATGCAGATCTTCCAAAAGTTGACATATTACACAATATTTTTAAAAAATTATATCCGCCAGGCACAGTAGTGCACACTTGTAGTCCCAGCTACTCAGGAAGCGGAGGCAGGAGAATCACTTGAACCCAGGAGGCAGAGGTTGCAGACAGCCAAGTTCCCGCGCCTGTAATCCCAGCACTTTGGGAGGCCGAGGCAGGTGGATCACTTGAGGTCAGGAGTTCAAGACCAGCCTGGACAACATGATGAAACCCCATCTCTACTAAAAATAGAAAAACTAGCCAGGCATAGTGGCATGTGCCTGTAATCACAGCTACTCAGGAGGCTGAGGCAGGAAAATCATTTGAACCCAGGAGGCAGAGGTTGCAGTGAGCCGAGATCACGCCACTGCACTCCAGCCTCGGGCGACAGAGTGAAACTCTATCTCTAAAATAAAAAATAAAATAAAGAAATCAACAGATGGGTCAGGAGGGACGTTGCAGAGGGGCCAGTGACAGAGAAGAAACTCAGCAGAACATGGGCCTAGAAGGACAAGGCAGGCGAGGAAGAGTATGACTGTAGCACTGACTGCCACCAGGAGGTCAAGTCCGGCAAGTCACATCCATGGGAGTCAGCCGCCAGGATGCTGCTACTGACCTCGCCAGGAGAGGCTGCAGTGGGCTGAGAAAGGAATTTCTCAGTGGGCGGAGGAAGAAATTGTGAGAGGGCTTCACAGAGAAGGAGAGAGAGTGACAGGGCAGTAAAGAAAGATGTGGGACTGAGCGAGGGCATGGGTTTTGAAGGTGAAAGTATGGCAGGCACAATTCAAAAATGACCCCCGTGACTCTCCTATAACTCTCCCCGCTCCTCTGAGTGTGGGTGGAACCTCTGAATGTGGTATCATTCCTGCAAGCAGGGAGGCTATCCCGTGACCCGCATTTAATCACATGAGCACAAAAGGGTTTTCTCCTGCTGGTGGCAGAAGGGGATATCAGAGACATTCAAACATTCAAAGCACAAGAAGGTCTGAATGCACGCTTGCTATTTGGAGGTGGAAGAGGCCACATGATAAGGAATGCCGGTGGCCTCTAGAAAATAAAGTATCCCCTGTCCGAGGTCAGCAAGGAAACAGGGACCTCAGACCTACAGCCACAAGGAACTGGATTCTGTCGAAAGCTGAACGGGTTTGGAAGTGATTCTTCCCCAGAAACTTCAGCTAAGAGCCCAGCCACGCTGAAAACGTTGATTGCAGCCTGGTGAGACCCTGCGCAGAGAACCCAGGTGAGCCCACCCAGACTCTTGAACTCCACCACTAGGAGGGAGTGAACGGGTGTCGGTTTAAGCTGCTTAGTGTGCGGCAGTTCATCACACAGCAACAGAAAACTAAATTGGCAAGTATTCTATCTGGTGCTGGGTTCTGACTTCTGAGAATAACTTCCTCTGAGAGAAAATCCCCACAGGCTGGGCTCTGGCCCAGCAGCATGGCTGGCCTGACTCACTGCAGCGTGCTCTGTGGACACCACATGGCAGGAGTACTCTGGTCCACGAGAGGGAGCTAAACAAGACGCTGCCCTTCCATAGCTGGAAGCTGCAGGGTGTTTAGCCATGAAGGGTTAGAAAGTTCCTCTCTCTCAGGCTGGAGATCCATTTGACGGTGCCACAAAGCAAGAGTCCACCAAAATAACGAGACCTAACATGTCCTGGCCAGAGGCCTGTGCATGGCACAGAGCAGAGCCCGAGACCGAGCCCACCGGCTCGGACAAGGTTACCTTCTTGCGCGGCCGAAGCTTGTCCCGCCATTCCTTCAGGTTCTGATTATGGCTCTCATCCAGCGCCTTCAGCTTCTGGGTCTCGTGCTCTACCAGGAGGTGGCACTTTTCATTCTGGAACAAATTCCAGGCAGAACAGGTGAGAAATCAGAAGACACAGGCCCTGAAGACTGAGACGCACCTCATGCTGTGGCCACGAGGGCACCAGCATCGTTCATTTATTATTTCTTCTTCTTGACTATAAATCACATTTATTCAAACTCTATATGTAAATCACATGCACCAAGAAGTGCCTGGAGGAACAGTCCAGAATATGTTAACAGTTCTTATTAACTCTGTGGTGGGGATGTGTGGTAAATTTGCAACTTTCTGTGAGGATATAGCAAGAAGGCAGCTGTCTGCAAGCCAGGAAGGCAGCCCTCACCAGAACCCAACCATGCTGGCGCCCTGATCTCAGACTTCCAGCCCCCAGAACTGTGAGAAAGAAGTTTCTGTTGCTTAAGCATCATGGTACTTTGTTATGGCAGCCTGAGCTAAGATACTCTGTATGTATCACATAGAATTTCCTCAGGGAAATCTGTGGCAAGGAATGAGGGTCACTGACATGGGTGAGACTCTTCCAACCTCACTGTTCTTTCTCTGAGGTAAGTTATCTGCTTTATAAAATGTAAATCTCTCTCATAGGCAGCAGTGACAAGTCCCTGTTGATTTCTTGCAGAGAATCAGTCTTGTCATGAGGAGCTTATAAAGCAGGGGGAAAATGCCTTTATCCAGATACCACGACCCTACTGGGTTGGGAAAGTAGAATCCTTTGAGAGATTTTCATTTTGGGTTTCATGCTAGAGGCTTCTGGGAGTTGAGAACTTGGCTGAGTGAGAAGTAATACTCACAGCAGCGCTGAGTTCCTGTGGCCTGCCAGGAGCTGTGCTCGGCACTTCATATGGGCTCTCCCAGTGCTCACAGAAACCCGAGGCAGGGATAGGAAAACAGATGCAGAAGGTGAATGGCTTGGTCAAAAGTCACACAGTGACAATCAGCAGAGCCCTGCCGGGCAGGCCTCAACACCTGGAATGTTTCCTCCACGCCTCCTTGCCTCTCCAGAAAATGCCCGATGAGTCCAACAGCCTGAGCAGTTCCTGAGGTTCGAATCGGCCCTGTCCCAAGGGGGCTTCAAGTACTAGCTCCTGGGGCCAGGACCCTCAAGCGTGGGGCAAACCCAGGGGCCAGGAAGCCTGAAGAGGTCAGGAATTACCACAGGAAAAGCAGCCCACAAGGGGCTCGGCCACACCCCGACCACCTTTGCCCAAAACACAGTGATGACGCGGAAACCCTGCAGCAGCCCACTGCCAGCTCCGCCGCTTCACTCCCAAGCCCTCGCCCCAATCCTGTACAGCAGGAAGGGTCATCCCCACACCCATTTCAGGGCTGTGAGAGCTTTGGCTTAGGAGGGTCATGTGATTTGGCCAACCTCACACAGCTCTAGAGCAGCATGGCAGGACTAGAACCTGTCCACCCCGGGCCTGTCTGACAAAGACTGTTCCCAGCTGTGGAGTTTCTGGCCCCGAGAGCTGATGGCCTTGGGGAAACTGAGGCAGCCTGGGGCAGGGGCAGGCAGGGCGGTACCTGCAGCTGCTGCAGCTCGCTCATGTTGCTCTCGCACTGCGCCAGCATGTCCCGCATCTGGTTCTCGTGTTTCTGCTGCTGCTGCAGCCGCTCCGACTTCTGCCTCTTCTCCTCCTGCTGGGAGAACTGCACCAGAGAGAGGGTGGGTGCCTCAGAGGGCCAGGGCCTGGCTGGTTGGGTAGGGAGCCCACCTCAGCCCTGGCCCAGAGAGACCCCTCAGGGGTACTGGTCTGTGCACAGCCCCAGTACCCAGCACCACCTGTGCCCGTGCTAAGTCCTCACCCTGAGCTGAGACCCAGCCCCTGCCCTCAAGGAGCCCCCAGGCTGGTGGGGACATGACACTGTAATTGACACATGCCAGGAAAGTGTGTGTACCAGGCAGGAATCACAAGGGCCCATGTGCCCGAGCCACAAGGGCAACACAGGATGTGGGGAAGCTGGCCAAATACAAGCGTGGGAGTGCGGAAGGGAAGGGCGCAGGAGAATCAGCAACACAGCACCAAGCTCCCTCTGTCCACACACCGAGGTGAATTCACCATGAGGCTGACGAAGCTTCCAGGGCACGCCTGGCGACTCACACACCCCCTCCCAAGACCTTATGGCGAGCAGGTCGGGGTGCATTTTTCTTTTTTTTTTTAAGTTAGAGTCTCGCTCTGTCGCTCAGGCTACAGTGCAATGGTGCAATCTCAGCTCACTGCAGCCTTCCAAGCCATTCTCCTCCCTCAGCCTCCTGAGTAGCTGGGATTACAGGCACGTGCCACCATGCCCAGCTAGTTTTTATATTTAGTAGAGACAGGGTTTCACCATGTTGGCCAGACGGGTCTTGAACTCCTGCACTCAGGGGATCCCCCTGCCTCAGCCTCCCAAAGTGCTGGGTTTACAGGCATAAGTCACTGCACCCAGCCTTTTTATTTTGAGACAGAGTCTTGCTCTGTTGCCCAGGCTGGAGTGCAGTGGCTCAATCTTGGTTCACTGCAACCTCCGCCTCCCAGGCTCAAGCGATTCTCCCATCTCAGCCTTCCAAGTAGCCAACACACCTGGCTAATTTTTTATTATTATTATCATTATTATTATTATTATTATTATTGTTTGTAGAGATGGGGTTTTGCTATGTTGCCCGGGCTGGTCTCAAACACCTGGGCTCAAGTGACCCACTCACCTCAGCCTCTCAAAGTGTTGGGTTTACAGATGTGAGCCAGCCTGCATCTTGTTTCATATTCTCCAAAATCGTGTAAGGCCCAGGCCCCACCAAACCTGGCCCTGCCTGCACTCCAGCACACTGGCAGAGCCCGCAGGCCCGGCCCCCACCTGCTTGATCTTCTCGCGCTGCTCGGCTGCGCTGCCCCCGCCATTGATGTGGAGGCTCTTCTTGTACATGGCCATGCGCGTCTTGCCCTCACTCCTCTGGATCTTGGGCAGCCGCGCCTTTTCCTGCTGCTGCCGCACCTTCAGCTGCTCTATCATGCGCTGGTTGTAGCGCTGCATCTGCTCCCGCTCCTGGAGAGGAATATCCAGGGGGGCTGGGGTCAGCTGCACTCCGGACTTGGAGTGTGGACACAGGCTAAAGCTCCCCACACTCCACTTAGGGGCCCAGGACCAACGCGGCCCACGATGTTCAACAGAGCAAGGCTTCTGTTATTTTGCTTCTACGCTAATAACATTTTTTTTTGTTCTCACTTTAAAAATTCTTGTTAATAATATCTTGGATTCTTACCTTTTAAATGCCTTTTCATCTAATCAATGATGGCATGCCATCATTAGCTAATATCTCAAAGCAAAATGTACACGAAAGGGGATGGTTTCTCATTAGTGATGGCAGATGTGAATTTATATTTTAAAAAACTCTGATACATCTGAATTTTTTCCTTCCCCTAACACCTATTTGTATTTCAAAGCTCAGCATGGGTATCACCTCCTCCAAGAAGCCTTCCCTGATTTCTTCACCTGGTTGGGTAGCCTTATTCTGAACTCCCATGGCCCTATACTGACTTCCATCACTGCATTTAGATAAGAAACTGGAATTATACACAGCTGCTGTGCATCCACTGCATCCAGATCTTGGTTTGTCTGTCACTGTCCCACTATGAAGGCTGAACTGAGACAATTCCTGCAGGAGAGGGTGCTTTGGCCACACAGATCAGGGGCCCTCACCAGCTCTGGGGAGTTCAGGGAAGGCTTCCCGGCAGAGGTGGTGTTTAGGTGGAGACCTAAAAGTATTCTGAGGGAATGCACAAGAAAGAGAGAAACAAAGAGAAAATGGAAAGGGAGGACAAGAGGGAAAAGAAAGAGTAAAACAAAGACACACCGGGCGGGCGTGGTGGCTCACGCCTGTAATCCCGGCACTGTGGGAGGCCGAGGCGGGCAGATCACTTGAGGTCAGGGGTTTGAGACCAGCCTGGCCAACAAGGTTAAGCCCAACTCTACTAAAAAAAAAATACAAAAATTAGCCGGGCATGGTGGTAAGCACCTGTAATCCCAGCTACTTGGGAAGCTGAGGCAGGAGAATCGCTTGAACCCCAGAGGCGGAGGTTGCAGTGAGCCTAGATGGCGCCACTGCACTCCAGCCTGAGCAACAGAGCAAGACTCCATCTCAAAAAAGAAGAAAAAAAAAAAAAGACACACACAGCAAGTAACAGAGTCAGCGAGGGAGCTGCTTAGGCCATTGGCTTCCCTGCATGGTTTGCCCTATTCCTGGTCCCTTGAGCTGAAGCAGGACACCCCTGGAGAACCTCTTGGGGCCTCACTGCAGCCAGCCCTGGGTCCTCTTGGGGGCACTTGTCATCCAAAGTATGCACCCAAGACGTGCCCCACCACATCCAGCCTCACGGTTCTCCCAGGTCGGCCCGGCAGCAGACCCGAGCCCCACGCCACCGGCAGCCTCACCTTCTCATGCTTGCGCAGCAGCTCGTGCCGCTGGAGGAAGTACTGGTCTTTGAGCTGCTGCTTCACCAGCTGGTGCCTCTCCTGCAGCTGGTGCTCCTCCATCTCCCACAGGGCCGCTTCCCGGTCTGCGGAGGACATGCCACACACCTGGTGAGGTGCTGACATCCAGAGACCTGACAGGCCCTCTGCCCCGCTCCTCTGCCTGGCCTCCTCATGCTGGAGATCACCGACCTGCTAGGCTCAGGAATCGCCACATGTGCTACCTCATTAGACCATGTTGGCTGACCTGAGCTGAGGCCTAGAAACTTCCTTTAAACCTAAGGAATGATAGCTCCCAGCAGCATGGTAGAGCACGAAGTGCTCAAAGTCAGGAGCCAGAGAAACTGCAGATACAGGCTGGAACCCAGCTCCATCGGTGGGATTAGGAATGGAGAGGTTCTCCAGGCATCAGCTGCCATCTCTGCCAGATGGACACAGCTATACTATGGAGGGAGGGGATGTCCTTGGGAGACACTTTGAAGTGCAATCCGCACTGCATCTCTACTTTCCTGATGCGCACGTGGGAAGGGCTCAGATGCAGACCCCATGAAGAAGACAGAATGGCCTCTTGTCACTATTTCCTCCTTTGAAAAAATGGGTGAGATCCTCTTGTCCCCTGCATGTCCCATGCATGCATTATGCAGACAATGGTATCTGGCATCTTATCACTGGAGGTCTATTAATCCACCCTTGTGCACAGCACCCGGGTGGGGACCTGGAGTCAAAGGGAGAATCTCATTCCCTTCGAGACAGGAGATTATGCTTGGCTCAGTGTGAATGTTGTTTATTTCACTGCATTCCCGTTCCGTGCAAAATGGTATCTGCTTTTGGTATATCAGAATAGTGATTCTGGCTTCCACCCCAAAATCAGAACCACAGTTCCGTAAATAGGGCAGTTCTTACCAACATCATGGGATAGGAAAAGGAAGTGAGGGCTTTTCTCAAAACAACTGTGCTCTATTCAGAATACTGAAAACTCAAGAAGCCCGTTTTGCTGATCCACACCAATTAATAAGAGGTTTATGTTGCTTAACTGCACTGGTCATCAGAGGCCTGGAGGAGGCCTGTTTTATAAGCGAGCCAAAAATGGCCCTGGGATATGGCCTCATGTTGTTTACTTCCTCACAGCAGGCCCGGACCGCCAAAAGTCCACAGGCACCAAACTCAAATGTATAACCATCCTCTGTTATTTCTAAAACATAGTATGTACGGCCAGGCACAGTGGCTCACGCCTATAGACCCAGCATTTTGGGAGGCTGAGGTGGGTAGATTGCTTGAGCCCAGGAACTTGAGACCAGCCTGGGCAAAATGGCGAAACCCTGTCTCTACTAAAAATACAAAAATTAGCTGGGTGTGGTGGCGTGCACCTGTAATCACAGCTACTCAGAAGCCTAAGGCATGAGAAGCGCTTGAACAGGGGAGGCAGAGGCTGCAGTGAGCCAGTATTGTGCCACTGCACTCCAGCCTGGGTGACAGAGTGAGACTTGGTCTCAAATAACAAAAACAAAAACAAACCCCAGGTATATAGCTACAGAGAAAAGCTCAAACAGGGCCGGGCACGGTGGCTCACGCCTATAATCCTAGCACTTTGGGAGGCCGAGACAGGCAGATCACGAGGTCAGGAGATCGAGACCATCCTGGCTAACATGGTGAAACCCCGTCTCTACTAAAAATATATAAAAAAGTTAGCTGGGCATGGTGGCGGGTGCCTGTAGTCCCAGCTACTCGGGAGGCTGAGGCAGGAGAATGGCGCGGTGACTCACACCTGTAATCCCAGCACTTTGGGAAGCCAAGGCGGATGGATTACTTGAGGTCAGGAGTTCAAGACCAGCCTGGCCAACATGGTGAAACCCCATCCCTACTAAAAATACAAAAAATTAGCTGGATGTGGTGGCGCAAACCTGTAATCATCCCAGCTATGAAGGAGGCTGAGACAGAAGAACTGCTTGAACCTGGGAGGTGGAGGTTGCAGTAAGCCAAGATTGTGCCACTGCACTCCAGCCTGGATGACACAGTGAGACTCCATCTCCAAAAAAAAAAAAAAAAAAGTTCAAACCAAGCAGATATTTAGCCATTTGGAGCCTGCCTACTTTGCATATCGCATGAAACTGCCCCTAACATCTGCTAGCCATAGAGAAAAGAGACCCAAGGGCTCCAGAAAGACCCCAAGCCACCGCTGCCCTTTGCAGTTTTCTGATCTAGAGATGCCCCATCTGAGTTCCCCACGCTGGACGACATCATCTAGACATGTGAGCCCCCTCTCAGGTCCCCTTCTTGCCCAAGAGTTCCTTTGCCTTCTTCCCCTGCTGGATGGTGGCCTGCACCGTCACCTCTAGAAGGCCTCATTCTGTAAGGGACCCCCTCAGCGTGTAAACCTGTCAAAATGCCCCCCAAGCAAAGCTGCTTGCATGCTACTGCCATCTTGTGGTCATTTTTTTTTTCTCAATCAGCCCTGAAATGCCCAGCTTCCTGATATTGTCATCCAAGGCCCAGCTCTATCACCCATTAACTGTGCAACCTCAGTGCTACGATCTGAACGTTTCCGTCCCCTCCAAATGTATATGTTGAAATCTTAATCTCTGAGGTGAGGGTATTAGGAGGTGGGGCCTTTTGGGAGGTGATTAGGTCAGGAGGGTGGAGCCCTCGTGAATGGAATTAGTGCCTTTTTATTAATAAAAGAGACCCCAGGCCGAGCACGTTGGCTTATGCCTGTAATCCCAGCACTTTGGGAGGCCGAGGCAGGCAGATCACTTGAGCCCAGGACTTTGAGACCAGCCTGGACAACATAGAAGACCCCATTTATACAAAAAACACAAAAATTAGCCAAGTGTGGTAGCACATGCCTGTAGTCCCAGCTACCTGGGAGGCTGAGGTGGGAGGACTGCTTGAGCCTCAGAGGCAGAGGTCACAGTGAGCCATGACTCTGCCACTGCACTCCAGCCTTGGCCACAGAGCAAGACCCTGTCTCAAAACAAAACAAAACAAAAAAACCAAAACACTACAAAACCCCAAAAACCCAGAGACCACAGAACCGGTCTCCCTCCGCTCCGCTGTGTGAGGAGACAGCGAGGAGCCAGAGACCCCAGAGCCGGTCCCCCTCCGCCCCGCTGTGTGAGGAGACAGCGAGGAGCCAGAGACCCCAGAGCCGGTCCCCCTCCGCCGTGTGAGGAGACAGCGAGGAGCCAGGGACCCCAGAGCCCGTCCCCCTCCGCCGTGTGAGGAGACAGCGAGGAGGTGCCACCTATGAAGCACAGAGTAAGCCCGCCCCAGACCACACATGTGCTGGCACCTTGACTGCGGATTTCCCAGCCTCCAGAAGTGTGAGAAACGAACGTCTGTTGTTGATAAGCCACCCAGTCAGTGGTATTTTGTTAGAGCAGCTGAATGAACTAAGATACTTGGTCAAAGAATAGTAACTCTCCAGGCCTCAGTTTCCTCATCTACAGAAATGGGGATAACCCAGGCCCTGCCCCACAGTGTTAGGTGAGGATTCGGTGAGATAAAGGTGGAAAAATGGACTGGCACGTGGCCTGGCAGACTGGTTGTGCAGTCCCTGCCAAGCTGTCTCCACCTCCCGTCAACCCAGCTCACTGATTAACCTACTCTATGCCTGTTCCTTTCTCCTCTTGACTTCTGGAATCATGTCAAATAGTCTTGGTGACAACTGGTATCCTTGCCTCGTTCCTTACTTCAGTGGGGGTTTTCCCCAGGTTTCACCATGAAGGATGATGTTTAGTTGTGGGGATGGAGAAGGCCTGGGAGGTTTTTCTTGCCCACCCCACTTCCCAGGGCTGGGATGTCCACAGCGACTCTGGGCCAAGACAGCGCTGCCACTCGAATGCCCCCACCTCGAAGCAGCTCCTGCTTCTTCATGAGGCACTCGCGCTCCTTGCCACAGATCTCCCGCCTGTTGTCGGTGGTGAGCCTCTTCATGGCCAGCTCCAGGTCCTCCTTCTGCTTGGCTACAAAGTCCCGGTCCTGTGGGGAGAGAGGAGGACAGGCCTTTATCCAGAGCTGGCTTGGGCACCTCAATGTCTCTTCCTATTATGGAAGAAAAGCCTGCGTGATCAGAGAAGAAAATTCAGAAACAGAAAAGAAACTGGTGGAGGGGAAATTTAAGAGACTTAGAGACACATCAACCGATTTCAACACGTGGGCTTCATCTGGATCCTGGATCAAAGAACAATTTTTGTTTGTTTGTTTGTTTGTTTGTTTTTGAGACCGAGTCTCGGTCTATCACCAGGGCTGGAGTGCAGTGGCACAATCTCGGCTCACTGCAATCTCCGCCTCCCAGGTTCAAGCAATTCTCCTGCCTCAGCCTCCTGAGTAGCTGGGATTACAGGCGTGCACCACCACACCTGGCTGATTTTTGTATTTTTAGTAGAGACAGGGTTTCACCATGTTCGCCAGACTGGTCTCGAACTCCTGAGCTCGTGATCTGCCCGCCTCAGCCTCCCAAAGTGCTGGGATTACAGGCTGAGCCACTGTGCCTGGCCAATGTTTTTTTTTTTTTTAAAGGATGACATTCATGAAACAATTGGAAACTGGAATACTGACAATATTATGTTGTTCAGCAATTATGGTTGAATTTGCTAGGTGTGTTTATGGTATGGTAGTTATTTCTCTGATGTTTGACAGGTAAAATAATATGATGTCTGGGATTTGATTAAAAATAATACCTTGGGGTCAGGGAGTGAATGAGTGGGCATGAGGTGATATTACTGAGATTAGGTGATAGGTATATGGTGGTTCATTATGCCATTATACCTATTCCTATGTTTCTTTTCTTTTCTTTCTTATATTTATTTATTTATTTATTTTTTGAGAGAGAGAGTCTCGCTCTGTCACCCAGGCTGGAGTGCAATGGCATGATCTTGGCTCATTGCAACATTGGCCTCCCAGGTTCAAGTGATTCTCCCATCTCAGCTTCCTGAGTAGCTGGGACTACAGGTGCGCGCTATCACGCCCGGCTAACTTTTGTATTTTTAGTAGAGATGGGGTTTTACCATGTTGGCCAGGCTGGTCTTGAATTCCTGGCCTCAAGTGATCTGCCCACCTTGGCCTCCCTCTTCCTATGTTTTTAATTTTCCATAATAAAGAGAAAAAAATTAAAATAAAAAAATTTAGAAACCACAGAATTAGTAAAACTCTCCACCTATCCTATCACCCAGAGTTGGCAACTGTGGTATGTCTATACAAGTGTATCTATAGCTATTGTTATTGTTGTGTTACAAAAATTATTAAAAAGGGCTCAAACAGATTATGTGAGCACCTAAGTTCACAGCAGCATTATTCACAATAGTCAAGGGATGAAAACAGCCCACGTGTCCGTCCACAGATAAATGGATAAACATCATGTGTTATATCCATACAATGGAATATTATTCAGCCTTAAAAAGGAAAGAAATTCTGACACATGCAACAACATGGATGAACCCTGAGGACATTACACTAAGTGAAATAAGCCAATCACAAAACGACAAATATTCTATTATTCCACTTATATGAAGTACCTAGAATAGTCAAATTCATAGCGAACGCAGAATAAAGTTAGCAAGGGTTGGAGGGGAAGAAACGGAGAGTTACGGTTTGATGGGTGCAGAGTTTCAGTTTTACAAGATGAGAGAGTTGTGGGGATAGATGGTTGGTGGTGATGGTCGCACAGTGAGAACGTGCTTAACACTACTATGTTGTACACTTAATAATGGGAAAGATGGTAAATCTTATGTTATGACTATTTTACCACAATTTTAAACAATTATTTAAAAAAATCTTTCCATGTTATAATGTGATCTTCTGGCCAGGCGCAGTGGCTCACGCCTGTAATCCCAGCACACCGGGAGGCTGAGGCAGGCGGATCACCTGAGGTCAGGAGTTCGAGACTAGCCTGGCCAACATGGTGAAACCCCATCTCTACTAAAAATACAAAAATTAGCCAGGTGTGGTGGCATACACCTGTAGTCCCAGCTACTTGGGAGGCTGAGGCAGGAGAATTGCTTGAACCCTGGAGGCGGAGGTTGCAGCGAGCTGAGATTGTGCCACCACACTCCAGTCTGGGCAACAGAGTGAGACTCCATCTCAAAAAAAAAAAACAAAAAAAAAAACAAAAAAACACTGTGATGAAACTCCCACTTTTGAAACTCCATGTCAAATAAATAAATAATGTGATCTTCTATCATATGTGTTTCAATGGCTGAAAAATTTCATGCTTTGGATGTTATTTATCCAATAAACAACACGGTGTTTCCAGGTGTTATGTATTTTTAAAGTAGTGCTACTTCATATTCTGGTAGTTAAGTGTTTGTGAACCTCTGTGATAACTCCTTCAGGATTTTTAGATTCCCTCAGGATTTCTAGAAGCAGAAAATCCAAGCCAAAGGATGTGCATATCTTCAAAGCTCTCCATGCAACTGCCTCCTCCAGGCCACACCATCTACTGTCCCTCTGTGTGGACGAGGGCCTGCGTGCCCCGCCTCACCAGTCCGCAGTCTCTTCCTAATCGCGCTGTAACGGGACAGCTCATGGGGCGTTCCAGAGACAACACAAGCTTGAGGCCTCGACCCCCTCCCCGACTGTGAACTTAGCAATGTCACCTCTCTCAGTCTTTGTTTCCTCTTCTGTGAATGGGAAAATGAACAGCTCCTACCATGGTAAGCTATGAACGCTGAACCAGGTAATACAGAAAGCATTTGTAAATGTGGACTCAAAGATTCTCTGCTTTGGAGGCTGAAGAAGCAGAGCACACAAAGACCCCCTCGTGGGGAAAATGGGAGCATTCCGGCACGGGATGAAAAGAAGGCTGGGGAGGCCAGCCAGGGCACAGCAAAGAGGCAGCGCTTATCTTAGGGACAATGCGGGAGCCACTGAAGGCTTTTAAGGCACAGGGCTGTGGGGGGAAGGGTGCTGTTATCAGACTTGGAATTCAAACTGCTCACACCTGCAGGCAGGAGAGAAGAAACTGCAGGGGAAAAACAGCAACAGGAAGCCTCGCTGGGAGGCCACTGGACAGTGGCTGGGGGATCATGGAGATGGTGACAAGTTGATAGATCCAGAGACAGGAGATAAGAAATATACATACCATGCTTCAGGAGGTGATGAAGGACTGGAGGGAAAGGAGGGGACAGGAATGATGGGCCAGAAAGGAAGGAAAATGGCACCCTTCAGAGCATGACACGACCAGGTCTGGGACATCATGAGTTTGATGTCCTTTAGACTTAAAAGATGCCAAGAGGGCAGGGGAATATACTGGGTTGGTCAAGGAGATGTGACTTACAAATAAATAACCCTAGAACAAGGTAGGAGGTGCTAAGGGTTTGGGAGGATGGTCAATGTAAAGTGTTGGGGTATCCAGAGATGGAAGAGCTCACTTCCAGCTGGAGGCGAGGCAATCAAGGAAGGCTGCATGGAAGAGGGGATAATGGGGCCATGAAGGATGAGGCTAGATTTAGGTATTCAGAACAGGGCATTTGAGGGGCAGTGACTGGGCAAAGGCAGAGAGGGGGCCTGGTCACCATTCCAGGTCTCACACCAGTCCCTGCACTCCCCAGCTGAGGCCAGGGACTCACAAGAAGCTGCTTTTTCTGCGTATGCTCCTCCATCTTTTGCTTCATGCTCTCCTTCCGCTGCTGTCGGGGGAGCTTCTCCACCTCGTTCTTCACCTGCAACAGAGACAGCAGAGAGGGGCTGGGTCAGGGTCCTCTCCATGCTTCCTGCAGTATATTCTTCAACCCAGAACTCCTGGGCCAGAGATTGAGGAAGAGGCTCAGCGTTGCAAGGGCCAGCACCCTATGCGGCTCCCACCAAACCCCTCTGAGCAGGTGCCTCCCACTGGCCTACTCCTGCCTGCTGCTGGTTTCAGCTTCCAACTCCCCTAGAGTGGGCAGGTGCAGTTTCCAGCTGCGTGGTATCCTCCCTCCTCTTCTGGTAACAGCGCCCGGCTTCCTGCAGGGCAGTGTTTCTCCACCTTTTTAAAAAATGACAGTCCCCACAGAAGTTCTTTTAGACATTTTTTCCTAATCCCTCTCCCCCCATGAAATTAGTCCAACAGACAATACTGTCGATCTGATAAACCATTGTCACATCTCAGGTATTTGGCTTCCTTTGCAGTAATATTAGCCTGGCTGAGAATGCACATCTTTTGTTTTTTTGAGATGGAATCAAGCAATTCTCCCGCCTCAGCCTCCCAAGTAGCTGGGATTACAAGTGTGCGACACCACACCCGGCTAATTTTTGTATTTATAGTAGAGATGGAGTTTCACCATGTTGGCCAGGCTGGTCTCAAACTCCTGACCTCAAGTGATCTGCCTGCCTTGGCCTCCCAAAGCGCAGGGATTACAGGCGTGTGCCACTGCACCCAGCCGAGAATGCATACTTTAGTATCCCCCTTGTCAGTCCCTGAGGTCCAGGTGAACTGACACCCCCACCCCCACTGGCCCTGGGCTGAGCATCTGATCCAGGCTGGCCAAGCAGCACATTCCATGCCCTTAGCCTCAGGAACTGATTCAGAGAGAAGCACGTGACCCTCACTGGTCCAGTGCGAACTTTGGGACGTTGCTGGAACGACTGAAGGAAAGCTACCTGCTGTCCTCTGGGGTTGTTAAACTGGGGGGATGAAGGCCAAGGTGCGTCACCTTGTCAGCCCTGGAGGGGACTGCCTGAGATGAACTCGACGCAGGGAAGCAATGCCAAGAGAGGAGAAAGAAGAATTCCTGCCAACACTCCTGCCCTCCTGGCCAGACGCCGGCAAGTATTCTTTCGTCCTTCAGCCGGCTGGGATTGGGTTTCTGTCTTTTGTGACAGGAGGGAGAAGAGATCCATGACACTTCTCTCTAAGGACCCCGGACTTCCTCAGACATTTCCTTCCCAAGAAACCCACACCTTTACCAGTGCCTACTAACCCAAAACCTGCACTGACAGAGGGCTCTTAGGAGCATCTGATGGGGGAAAAGGCCTGCCTGTGAGCAAAAAAAGAACATTCTGGGGAGTTCTGGCATGGTGAGGTAAGCCAAGACAGGCTGTGTCTCCTGATAATTACAGTGAAAACACTGCATCAAATACGAAAGTAACTACTTGAGGACTCTGAAAACCAAACAAAAGCAGGTGACATGAAGGGGAGTCCAAATTTGCAGACAAGACTGGTAGAGGGGGTAAGTTTCCTATTTTTTTTTTCCATCCTTTTGCTCTCCTGGCTTTGCACCAATCCCAGACCTGCCCAGTGGTGCAGTAGAAAAGCTGGCTGAAACTCCATAAGAAACCTTGTATTTCTGGCCAGAGAACCAGGAAAAGAGGCCTGCGGAGTCCAGTGAGTATGGGATGAATCCCAAAGAGAAAGGCACAGAAGGCCAGGCGTAGTGGCTCACACCTGTATTCCCAGCACTTTGGGAGGCCAAGGAAGGTGGATCACTTGAGGTCAGGAGTTCAAGACCAGCTTGGGCAACATGGTGAAACCCCATCTCTACTAAAAATATAAAAATTAGCCGGGCGTGGTGGCACATGCCTGTAATCTCAGCTCCTCGAGAAGGAGGCATGAGAATCACTTGAACTGAGGAGGTGGAGTCTGCAGTGAGCCGAGATCGCACCACTGAACTCCAGCCTGAATGACAGAGCGAGACTCCGTCTCAGAAAAAAAGAGAAGAGCGCAGGAAAAGGGAAATTCCTAATTCTGTGTGTAAACACAGAGATTCACCCCTGAGCTAAGCATGAGGGAGACAGGCGCCAAGCAGTATAGCAAAAAACCAAAGAAGAAAAGACCTAACTAAACTAAGACTGAAACCACTACCCACAGAAGATCAGACAGAACCTGTGGTCTACAGGGTTTCCTGTTAAGCAAAAAACATCTACATTCTCCAAAAGATTATAATACAGACCATAACACTAAAATATCAAGGATAGGCAGGCACGGTGGCTCACGCCTGTAATCCCAGCACTTTGGGAGGCTGGGTGGATCACCTGAGCTCAGGAATTCGAGACCAACCTGGGCAACATGGCAAAACCCCATCTCTACAGAAAATATTAATACAAAAAACTAGCTGGGTGTGGTGCCAGTGCACCTGTAGTCTCAGCTACTCAGGAGGCTGAAGTGGGAGGATCACTTTAGCCTAGGAGCTTGAGGCTGCAGTGGGCTGTGACTGCACCACTGCACTCCAGCCTGGGCAACAGAGCAAGAAGCAAGACCCTGTCACTAAATAAATAAATAAATAAATAAATAAATAAAATGTCAAGGAAACAATAAAAAATTACTCTGCATACAAAGAACCAGGAAATAGAACCAGTTTTCAAAGAAAAAGACAATCAATAGATATCAGCTCTGGGATGATATAGATGTTGACACAAAGAAACTTCAAAGCAGCTACTATAACTATACTCCATGAGGTAAAGCCCTTTAATATTTCAAATATGGAAAGATGAAAGTTCACAGCACAGAAAAACTATTTTTTTTTTTGAGACAGGGTCTTGCTCTGTTGCCCAGCCTAGAGTGCAATGGTGCAATCTCCGCTCACTGCAACCTCCACCTCCTGGGCTCAAGTGATTCTCCTGTCTCAGCCTCCAGAATAACTGGGATTACAGGTACCCAGTTATTTGGGTGCCTGGCTAATTTTTGTATTTTTAGTAGAGACGGGGTTTCACCATGTTGGCCAGGCTGGTCTTGAACTCCTGACCTGAAGTGATCCACCCGCCTTGGCCTCCCAAAGTGCTGGGATTACAGGCGTGAGCCACCATGCCCAGTCAGAAAAACTATTTTTTAAAAATTGGAAAATTTAAAACTAAACAATAGAATGTCTGAGATTAAAATAAAACAATAGCAGAATGGTGATCACAGAGGAGGGTCATTAATTTGAAGACTAATTAATAAAGATTATATAATCTGAATGACAGAGAGGAAGAAAGATGAAAAAGATGAAGGTTTCAGGGACTTATGGGAAAATTATCAAAAGCTCAATGAAACCCAAACAGGTTAAATTAAAAGAAAACCACCCTCATATATATCATAATAAAACTTGAAAACCAAACTAAAAAAATTCAGGAGAGTATTTAAGAGAAATGTGACATTTTAACACAGGAAAATCATGACTCCAGTGACCATGGATTTCCCAACAGACACCAGGGAGGCCAAAAGTCACTGGAGTATCATCCTTAAAGTGCTGAAAGAAGGGCCGGGCACAGTGGCTTATGCTTGTAACCCCAGCACTTTGGGAGGCTGAGGCGGGTGGATCACAAGGTCAGGAATTCAAGACCAGACTGGCCAAGATGGTGAAACCCCGTATCTAGTAAAAATATTTTAAAACTTAGCCAGGCGTGGTGATGGGCGCCTGTAATCCCAGCTACTCAGGAGGCTGAGGCAGAGAACTGCTTGAACCCGGGAGGCACAAGTTGCACTGAGCCGAGATCACACCACTGCACTCCAGCCTGGGTGACAGAGCAAGACTCCATCTCAAAAAAAAAAAGTACCAAAATAAAAGAACAGGAAGAATAGGTATGTCTAATGGAACTATCCTTCAGAAATGAAAGCAAAATAAAGACATTTTCAGATGAAGGAAAGTAGGAAACTTTGTGGTCGGGAAGAAAGGCTACATTGGAAGTTCTTCAGGTTAAAAAGAAGTGAGCTGAGGAGAAAACTTGTATCTTCAGTAAAAAAGAAAGAGTGACAGAAATGGTAAATATCTGGATAAACACAGTGAACAATTTTTCCCTTAAGATCTTTAAAATCTCAATGACCATTTAAAGCAAAAGTTGTCACATTGTCTGGTATGGTTTTTAATATATGTAGATGTAATACATTATCCGTGATAGGCCAGGTGTGGTGGCTCAAGCCTCTAATGCCAGCACTTTGGGAGGCTGAGGTGGCCAGATTGCTTGAGGCCAGGCAAGACCAGCCTGGCTAACATGGTGAAACCCTGTCTCTAGGTATGAGAAGTGCTTGAACCCAGGAGGCAGAAGTTGCAGTGAGCAGAGATCATACCATTACACTCCAGCCTGGGTGACACAGCAAGACTCGGTCTCAAAAAAAAAATAAAATAAAATAAAAAGGCCAAAAATGTGACAATTATAACAAAACTGAGAAAGTATCAAGAAATTTACATGCTTGTAAAGGTACACTTTACTTAAAGAATTACAATATCAACTCTAAATAGATGCTGAGATAGGTATGTATATTATAACGCCCCAGAGCAACCATTAAACACACACACACACACACAAACACACACACAAAGATAAACTAATTCGTGAAGTTAAAAATATTCAAATACTCCAAAAGGAGATAGGAAAACGGGGAAGAGAGGAACAAAAACCAAAGGAGACAAAACAGGTAATAATTTAATTAAATATAATTGGCATAAACACGTCTATTAAAAAACAAAGATTTTCAGATGGGATTAAAAAAATGAAAGCACAACTATATGCTGTCAAGAAGAAATGCATGTTAAATATAAAGATTTAGATAGGTTAAATTGAAAGGACAGGAAAAGATACTGTATGCAAATACTTATCAAAAGAAAGTAGGATTGGCTATTGATTAGACAAGGCAGACTTCAGAACAAGGAATATTATCAGGAATGATGATGGGCATTATATAATCATAAAAGGAAGAGTCAGTTCACTAAGAAAGTATGACTATTTTAGGTTTAGCTAAAGTCTAGGAGGCTGAGGAGGATCACTT